GGGTCAGTCTTAAGGCGTTCTACCGCGCGTATGCCTATGCTACGGCAATCGAGAAAACGCCCTCGGCTGGCCTACCTCTGCGATTGCATGTAAAAGCCTTCGCACGTGGGTCAGTAGCTCCCGCAGGTGGAGGTATGTTGTACCTCGCGGGATCCCTGACCTGTCGTAGGGAGTCGCGAAAATTATAGCACGCACGCACGGTCAGAGTGGTGTTTCGTTGAGGTGACAAAAGGACTCCTGTGTGACACAACCGTGAGGTCCGACACAAAATTCACTTTGCGTGTGGGTGTGGGACCGCCCCGCGCGGCAGGTGGCGCCATTGCCGGGGATCTCGCTTCCTAGCCGAGGTCCTTGTGAACGAGCTCGGGTATGGTAAGTCGATGATCTAGGCAAAACGACAATTCTAAATCTACTTACCGGGATGAAAATTGACCAAGGATTCTGAGTACGGAGTGTGTAAGAGTAGTCATTGCGTATAAGTCACCTAGGGGTTATAGAACGGAATAGGTTTTATGAGCAAATAGGTGGCACAAGTAAGGCGACAGTCAGTGAGAACTTGTGACAAGGTCGCCGTAGAGAGTGAAAGGAGAAGTATTTCATTGACAGTAACCTGAGGTTATCTAGAATCTTTTAAGACCAAGGGTATTGGGTCAGATAACCTTAAAGACTTTATTATCTAACTATTGTCCTCGCAGTATTATGGCACCCAAAGGCCGTGGGACTGATACTGGGAGAGGAAGAAGCGGAAGGTAAGGGAAGGCCGCCAAGAGGCCTATAGATTTGACCAAAGAGTGGGAGGATGAAGGGCTAGAAGAGAAGGAAGAAGGGGTAGAGGCTCGTAGGCATCTGGACGAGTGGAGTGAGCGTACCCCGTCTCCGGGGAAGATGGCGTATTACAAATGTGAGAGGCATTGCGACACCTCGCCTCTGCGTTGTGAGCCACCAAGCCGTCGTCGCTTCGAGTCTTATCCACCGCCTTCTTCCTCTGCTCAAGAACGAAACAATTGACCGTCCTTCCTCACTCCTGCCAACCAGAGTTTCAGTCAACGCCTCATGTTCCTGATCCTTCTGTCATCTCTCAATCCGCATCATTCGACAGGAGATTGTGTGTCTCCCTTATGATGTTCTTGTTACGTCAACTAGAAATTTGCGGGTTGATCTCCTACTTGCTGTGCAAGAAAATTATAAGCATTGAACGAGCATTTAAAAGAGTCAAGGATTGACATGTGAAGGAATTAAGGATAGGCAGGTCTAGTGAGAAAGATGTCAGGATCTCTAGGAGAGTGACTTTAGGAGGTGAGGGTAGGTGAAAGTTGCATATGGTACTTATTGTCAATAAGTAGAGTCCGGTGATTTAGCTAGGAGATAGAATATGAAGAAGGTGGTAGTGTGCTAATTTAAGCATATATCAAACTAGAAACTTGAAGTGTAAGACAATGAGATGGGGGATAGATGAACAATAGAGGTGGGTTGAGTACGTGACTCGTGCACGTGAATAAGACAGTGAGATGGGGGATAGATGAACAATTTAGTCTAAGGGTTGTACTTGCGGACAAAGTTTACGGGTGGAGGCCTGTTTAGTCATAAGTCTGGCAGATCCACGGAAAAAGGGGGCGAACAGAATGGATCAAACAACTTATTATGCCAACTGTAGTGCTTGCAAGAAGAGGCACATAATCCGAAGTGTAGTCAGTGAGGCAGTGAGGAAGTAGGTGTCAAACCATCTTGTTTATATTCAACTTGATGGCTATATTCAGGCATGAGGGTAGTTGCTTAAACTCATCCGCCCTGGATCATCTACTTGAATATACCCAGTTGAATCTAAGCGCTTAAATCCATCCTCTTAAGGCCATTCATTTGAGGTTATCCATTTAAAAATTATCCATTCATGTAAGTCTATTTTAAACCTATTCACGTGAAAATATCTATCTAATGCATTTTATTCATGGTTAATTGCTTGAGTTGTCCATCTAAGTTTATTTATTCCAGACTGTGCACTTAAATTCATCAGTCTGAGCTAATCAAATTTTGTTATTCGTCTATATTTTGAGCTCGTTTGTCTGGATTGCTCTTCTTATAAAGGATAGGGAAGCTACGCAGAATCCACGTCCAACGCGCGATCGGGGGTCCTTGGGGGAGTTACAATCCTAAGTTATCCTTTCCCTGATAGATGGCTTGAAGGAGCTATAAATCCGTCTTCTAAGGTATAGTAGTGAGACCCGCACCGGGACTATGTTCCTGGTCCATAGTGGGGTGTTGTCACCTGACCCTTTGAGGAATGGTGACTACATTACTACTGAGAAGGAGAAAAGTGTTTGAACCTTGTTAGACTATGGTCTGTGATGGAGGCAACTACTGCATGCCGCAAGGAAATAGGGGGTGATTCCCCAACTATCTTTTTGTCAAGTGGGTTCATCATCACGAGAAAGGATATGTCATCCTGGAACGTGTACGGTGAGGTTGTCTAGTAATTGACAAGAGTCTGCAAGGGACAGATACTAGAATCGGAGGGTGAAGCAGTGAGGTGTGGTCCTTGAGAGGGGCTCGGAGTCTAAAATGTTATCCTTTTAGGGGATTACACCGCCCCTTGACACAATATACTCCTGTCAAAGCCCAGGGAGTAGAATGCAGTACTCTCATTATTTTTGCATCCAAAAACATTTATCATTAAAACTTTTATTGACTACAGCATGACTGCTGTCTATGATCGTAACAGATACCATAAGTTCGTCCTCGCCAATGCATACATATGCTTATTAGGCTTGTCTCTTCGCTTGCTAAAACTATTTACATACTCAACTATTATAATTATTAACTATTGTGATTACTATGACAATACATCTCCACTATGAGTAACAATCATTATAATAATTTAAGACTTTCAGAAATTGCAATGCATTACTATCGCAATATACCATTATGACCTGTTTTTGAATAGGTCTTAAGAGTTTGTAAAGTACCGGTAGCAAGGTATGGTTTGAATAGTACCTTTTACGAAGAACATTGTAGGAGGAAGAGAGTCTGTGTAGTGATGGGAGGTGATTGATGGGCGTTTGTCTGTATGAACAGGAACTAGGGGTAGCTGAAGAAGGCCAGAATGCCGTATACTAGGGAAGACCCCAATATAGTCTTGCCTATTGAAAAGGAGGGCGGACTAGAGATGTCCTTGCCAAGACGAGTCAGGGAGAATGAGTATATCACTTTTTGGTGGGGTACATCTTTGAATAGGGATATCTTTATTGAATCTGGCTTCGACGATGTTGAAGTCAGTGCAATTACGAAAGTAACCGTATATATCTCATCATCCTTTTGGGGTACACTTGGTATTGAGCTTGCACTGGGACGTGGGAGTCTGCTCGCGAGACCCTTAAGGCTAGCTGAGATAGCTGCCGCAAAATGGGCAAGAGGAATATGCCGGAAAAGGAGAGGAGTCAGTACCCATTGTTATAGTTAGAGATGCTGAGCAATTTGTGCTACCTAAGTTCCTTGTGGAGGAGTATTTCGGAGGACGAGAGAAAATAAATGCAGCAGCGGAGGCCGCTTTGGTAGTACGAGAATGGGGACACAAGCATTATACAAGCGAGATAGTATACGATTTGTACCTAGAGATGCGATCCATGCTCCTCCACACAGAACTCCAAAGCGCGGCTTACATTGATAGCACCTCCACTGATTCTCGCAATCTAAGCGAAACGATGGAATACTGGGATGAACTCCGAATGGAGGTGTGCAGGCAGCGAATGTTATTACTTCCTTCTAGCAACTTATGCTCTTATTCAAGTGTCTTTTAATACAATTGTTTGCTCTATTCGCGCCTTTTAAGGTAAGTGCAGAGGATAATTGCTCCGTCAAATGGATGTCTAAAGCTTATGCCCTTGTATCCCTTTCGACTTGTTAAGGTGAGAATAAAGGAGCCTATTAGACATCTTCGGCTTACGGCTTGACGCTTCGTTGCTTGCTGTATTTGTACAGGATAGCAGCGGCAACCATGGCTGGAGGTGGTGGTTTGGATAAGGTCCTTCTTTGGAGGAATTCTTCTCTCGCTGAAGTATTGACACGCGAATCTGTAGATGAGTCAATGCCCCCAGACCTTAGAGCTCTGTTGTTTCAAGGGGAAACCTGCCTAACTTTTTGCGCGATTATCGCAGCTTTAGTCTTATGAACTTTCCCTTTGCTCGTATGTGAGGGGTTGGGCGAAGAAGTATACGATTTCATGCTGAGATCACGAACTTGGAATGAACTGGAAAGTTTGTTGAGCGTGAGGTTTTCCGAGCTTGAAATCGACAGTCGTCATTGTGAAGACCCCGATCGAATAATCGGTGGTGCGTCAGCACAAGGGGAACTAGACAGTATACTGAAACAGGTGAGAGCATTGGAAGAGAGAATGACACAACTAGAAAGGGACAGAAAAGGCAAGCGAAAGGTCTCAAAGGGGATGTCGGACGGGCTAGCTGGTAGTAGTGGAGAGAAAATGAACGATGATAATCAAGGTTCTCTCCGACCTGCGAAAGTTGAGAAGAAGCGATGTGATAACCAAGCTGGAGAAAGAGGTGAAAACGTGATTGAAATAGAAGAAGAACCTAGACCTCAGAAGTTGACCAAGGCCCAGCGGAAGGCAAGAAGACGAGCTCGAATGGTCCATGACCGCGATCAAGGTCAAGATTGGGGAAGAGGTCAAGACAATGGTAGACAAGGAAGTGGTGGTCATGGTAATAAGGGCCTCAGAAGCAATGGTAGAGGAAGTGATGGCAAAGGCAATAAGAGAGGTGATAATAGAAATTGGAACGCCATCGGGATCCAAAGTGGTCAAGAAAGTGGTCAAAGACTTGGGAAAGGAAGAGTGGGTTTGAAGAGTGCGGTCTACAGGCATTGTGCCCAAGAAGGGCACATAATGAGGTTTTGCCATGTCAGGAAGACTGATGAAGCAAATGGCCTAATAAGCACCAATATTGAAGGAGGTGTTTATGACAGGTTTAGAAACCCCATTGACCCAAACATACCTGGAGGGACGAGACAGTAAGCCTTGCGACGAGAGTACGAATGGCGGACAGGGACAAAAGACCTGTATTAGTGACAGAAAATTGCAAGGTCATTTGATAATAAGGTCGTCAAGAGATCGTAACTACCAAAGATAGAAACGTTTCCGTTAGAAGGAGATAACTGCAAGAGAGATGTTGAATAATAAGATAGGAGAGATAAGTAGAGAGGTCAGCACGTAAGGTAATTAAGTTAGAATTAAAATACAGGGAAAATGTTGTATAATCAATGAGAGAAAAGGGTGAAATGAGATGAAGATGACGGAGTTCGGTTATCAGTAAAAGAAAATGATGGAGCCCACCAAGGTAATTGAGTGAAAACAGGAGCAGAGATTGTACCGTGAGGGAAAGGTGAAAAGAACCCTATAGGGGTGTTGCAATAACACTTCTGGTATAAGGGTGGGAAAAGAATGAGAGTTCAAAGAGAGAAGAATGAAAGGATAATGGAGTGAGCTTATTACCATAGTACCTCTGAAGCCGTTGCGTCGTTAACTTCAAAGGTAAGTTGGAGAATTCCTCGAAGTCTACATGGGAGAAGAGGTCGTACTCAAGGGTAGTAGGTCAGTCTCTTGAGAGGACAGAGTGTTTGACAAGGAGATCTTCACAACTGCTTTCACCCATGGCCAAGAAAAGGAAGCAAAAGGTGTCAAAAAGGGGAACTCAGTAGGTGAGTGGGGCTCCAAGAGCCAAAGAAAACTGAAGTAAGAAAATCAGTTGAGAATGAAAGAAAAGGGGTTGAAGTGAGAAAGGGGTCAAAGACGAAAAAGGTAAGGCAATGGAAGAGGAAGAGGTGGAAAGAGAGAAGGATGGAGTGTGAGGGCCCATCCCAAAGGAGAGGAGAGGCAAAGGAAAGGCAAGAGAGCAAGGTGGAAAGGGGCTCTTTGTTTGGAAAGGAAAGAGTGAATGTCTGGTTTTACTTCAGCAGGAAGGAACCAAGAGGAAGGGGGTGCCTGGCATTGAGACATCAGAGGGAGCAAGAAATCAGGCAGAAGCATCAGCTGAGCGTCACAAGAAGAAGGCCAGAAGCAATAAGACTTGAAGTGAATGCTTCTTTTTGCACAAAAGAAGGGCACTTCAGGAATGATTGCGAGGTACTAGCAAGGTACATTGAGTTGGGAATGACTAGGTTTCACTTACGAAGAAGATTGGTGGCCATCACTGGGTGGCAGAGTGGAGCTCGATCGGATATTGGGGCTAGTCATCACTTTCTTAGACTAAAAACGAGTAGATGTATGAACTTCTAGATAAATTGAGGTGTTTGTTGGGTAAGAGAGAACATGGGTGAATAAAGTGCAGTCTGAAAAAGGGACAAGTTTCTTCCCCTTGAGTCTTGATAGGATAAAGGTTTAGAATAGATGATAGTATAAGGAAATGCATGAATATTTGAGGATAAATATGAGGATAAGAGAAGATGAGTCGCAGGTCTGAATCATTATAACATACTTTATATTTATATATGTATCCAAAGGGGATGAGCTGGTGACCACAAACACTTTTCACGTTGTGAGTGAATCCTTGTCTATGGTTTGAGTTTTTTGTGAGTCAATATCTCCCTTTGTCTATCACTATAGGACTCATCCGAGGCCTACAGATGGTGGTAGAGGAACGGGCGGATCAGTACCTTGTGTGAAAGTCATGTAAAAGGTTGTATGACCAAGATGTTGGAAGGATTGATTATATGTACATGTTTGAGAAACCATGCTACGACATGGACAAACTCTTTTCAACGAGTTAAAACGTTTGCAATCATTTTTTTTTAATGGGATGTTTGTTTTGTTGGTTTCGGACAAGCAAAGAGTCAACAACCATTGATTTCATTTCAAATATTGGTTTATACAAAATGACCCCGAGGTGCGTGCCTCACCGAGCTATGATCAAAGACTTGGAGGGCACAACCCTGAATGGCAATCTGACGATAGCTCAATTGGTTTTTTGAAATCTTATCTACATTGTCTATCTTTTAAAAAGAAGCATCGTTCATCCATTTCAAGGGTTAACCGGAGGGCATAAATTACCAAGCCTATGGTGGAAAATTGGCATCATTGGGACGTAACTCCCGGCGTGGGCTGCTGACCTAGCGTAAACAGGCAACGGACCCTTCGACTATGGCCTCGAAGAGAAACTAGAGGGGTGGCCACCCCAATGAAAGGATCTATTCAGGTGGATGTCGAAGGGGTCGAGATTAGTCTTGAAATCTATGATTTTTTTTTGAAAAGATAGGATGTATATCCGATCGTTGCACAACCAACGAGGGTAACCACCGATAAGCAGCAACGCGGTGGGCCGCAGCTCCGGCCTGATCAGCAGGACTGTGGTGGGTCATGATGGAGACCGTTGTCCTCCTGTATTAGGCTTCGGGGAAGATGACAGACAACTTTGGATTGTGATATCAAGAGTTGAACACCCAAGGTCTCGGTTAGGACCCGCGTTTGACGGGTTGAGTTTGCACGCAGACACCGACCCTGAAAAACAACCAACGAATACCTGGGCCAAAGACTAAGGGTGTGGGGAAGGAAAGGCGCGCTATCATACTTGACTATTTCATGCGCTGTAGTACGGATCAAGTATCCCCACTTCAAGTCATTGAATTTATTTTATGTGGGAGACCCGGGTTAAAATCCCGACAGTAATAATGAAAAGTGAGGTGACGACGTCAATCCTGAACCACATTTCATTCCAGGATTCGGATTTGACGATTTGCTTGTCAAAAAACATCTTTTGTTTGCATAAAGTTCTCCAGGCAACGGGGACGTCGCTTAGTGGGGTCTGGGATACTGTCGGACCAAATACCCTTACAAGGGTATTTGGCCATGCTTTTGCATTCGACACAGTGACGACGTAGGCTACCTTGATGGAACCAGTTTGGGATGAAAAGGGTGTGCACGCTTTGGCGTGGCATTAGGATTAGTAGTGATACCCTCCGACCGAAAAGGTCGAGGGGTTGATTGGGTTAGTGACGTGTCGGATAGATCTACGACACACGTTGAGATTTGGCCTGGTACCTGTCTACCTACCGGTACAGGGCATCTAAAAAAATGTTAACTTTTGCCTTCTTCTGCTCGGCCTTTGAGTACTCGACACATCTACTTATGCTTAATGTGGTGCCGGCCCACCCGTTGCTTGAGTGTTTCCACGACTCTTAAGTGTCGCGGACCGCTTTTCCCGCCACTTGAATGTTTTCCCCGTCGTGACTCTCAATGTCACGGCCACGGCTAAGTACCGGCCCTGCGGGCCTCCCAATCAACCACGTGTCCTCGAGGGTCACACGCACACTCAAGCCAATAAACAATCGGACAGGCACGCAGCCCGGCAGACGTGCATACGTGCAGATTTGGATTTCGGCTCAGACCACTGGTCGAACTGAGCCCTGCCCCTGCACATGTACAAGAGCTCCTCCTCTTCAACTCGAAGTAGGAGCTAGCTCGGTAGGTTTCGGGGGAGACTGTCAAGCAGGAGACGCAAGGATCGAATCTGCCCCGACCCTGAGTTAGTTTTTTTACGATAAGCTCTACTTTCGGTTTCGCCCGCGGATGACTGGCCGGGGCTTGAACCCTCGACCTTAGTGCTAGGAGTAGTTATAAGTTAGTTGGTTAGTTGAGCCCTCTGCCCCGGCTGTGACCCAGAACCGCCACTTGGCAAGTTAGGGCTGTTAGAGGTTAGATTCTGTAAATTTTGTTTTTTTTTTATTTTCTTTGAATTTCTTATTTTATTTGATGCGTACGATTTTCTTTCAATAGAACTTACCTTGATGCATTTGCCCCAATTTTTGGGCAAATCCATTCCCGAGGAGTCCTCGACAGTCGGGCGCCGTAGCAGACCTTCGGACCTGGTCGGCCTAGCCCTGTCTAGCGTACGAAGTACTGGGGAGGTCGTGGTGCGTTTAGAGGGCGAGCATGCGACACAAGGACGACGAAGCACGATGCAGCTAGGAGTCGCGCGGGGAGGTTGCACAAGCAAAGCGAAGGATGGAGATGGTTGCACGGTAGAAAGAGGGAGCGCAGAGCAGCRGAGATCGCAAGCGGGAGTGCGTGCGCGGAGGGTCGAAGAAAACGGGGGCAACACGCGCGAGAAGAAGAGATGACGAGTGGGGTCGCAGGCGAAGTGGCACAATAAGGGAGAAGAAGCAGGAGGGTGGAAAAGAAATAGAAAGGAGAGAAGAAGAGGAAGGAGAAGACGAAGTCGAAGAAGAAAAGGGAGAAGGGAAGGGGGTTCATCGTGTCGAGGGTAGATTGAATGAGGAATGTCATGTAAGCACGAGTTATCAGCTCGTACTGATTACGTTCCTGCCCTTTGTACACATCACCGTCGCTCCTACCGATTGAATGGTCTGGTGAAGTGTCTTGAGCAGTCGTCTGACGACGACTGACGTCGACAACCGACGACGACAACGGCTCCGACGACGGGGGAGCGAGAGAAAGAACGGGTAAGTCTCCTTCCTCGCAATCGATTCCCGTTGCTTCCCACGATAGGATGAGCAAAATAAATAAATAAATAAATAAATAAATAAAAATAAAATGAATCTATCCCTACAACATGGAAATATACACTACCACATTTGTGTGTGTGGGCTCGCTCGAGTGTGTGTGCGTGTGAGTGTGTGCATAGGTGTGCCGATCCCATGATTGTCTACATACTACTTCCATCGATAAGGCGAGAAAAAAAAATCAAGTGAATCTACCGCAAGAACATGGAACTATACACAACTGCATGTGTGTGTATGTGTATACATGGGTACGTGAGAGAGTGAGCACGCGTGTGTGTCTGTGTATACGATTGTGTGTGTGTGTGTGAGTGTGTGAGTGTGCGTGTGTGTGTGTGTGTGAGAGAGAGAGAGAGAGAGAGAGAGAGAGAGAAGGAGACGACACGTCTTCAACCTCGGCCAAAACAGCTAAGTCTCCAGCCCCACGGCTCGACACGCGCTACTTGGATCGATAGAATGAGCAAATCAAAAGGTGGCAGTGCATATTTCCACGTTTCAGCGGAAGATTCATTCCGTTTTTGCTCATCCTATCGATGGAATGTGTGT